TGGCCTCCTATGTTCATATTGCCATGGCAATTATGAAGATCAAGTCCACCCAGGGCCGTTGTAAGGCTTTTTCTACCTGTGCCTCCCACCTGACTGTGGTCACACTCTTCTATGTTCCAGCCACTTACATCTACATTAGGCCCAACTCCAGCTACTCCCCTGAGCGAGACAAGCAGGTCTCACTCTTTTACAATGCCTTTACAGCCTTGCTCAACCCCGTGGTCTACAGTCTGAGAAACAAAGACATCAAGAGGGCATTTCTCAAGGTGATGGGGCACGTTAGGGTAGATTAGTTAACCTCAATCCAGGGGAAGTTGGAGTGATTATCCCTTTTTGGTAAAGGGACAACATCTTTATTTAATTAGCTGTTCTATGCATTTGACCAACATAGCACTTGATAACTAGGTCAATCCACTCTGAAACCAAGGTGGCTATCTTGATTGACAGGCTACACTAAGGTACAATTCCAAAACCTCAGTAATCTTACTCGATCATTGCTGCAAAGAACCATTTTTTGCTCTATCTTAGCTGTAGGTTGGGAATGACATTCTGACCTCTCACATCCATCCTGAAGTAGGAATGTTATATCCAACATGATCACCCTAGAACAGAAGGAGAGGAACCGTGGACAAACTCACAATGACTCAGCTCCCAAGAGTGACCTGCTTCTCTGTCCACATATTCTTTTGGCCAAAGCATGTAGTATGGTCCAGCCTGACAGCAGCAGGTGGAAAGTTTTTTGTCTAGACAGAAGTAATTCAAGTTCTGTGGCCGTGGTCTGATATGTTGGCTGCTCTACTTAGAAGACAGCAAGTAGTATTCATTATGTAGCCAGGAATATTTTAGAAAATAACAGCATACCTATAAACCAACCCAAAACATGCAAACTGTGGATAACATGACAGTAGAGACAGCAGAAGGCTGAGACCTATATGCTAACACAGTGTGTATTTTCATGACAGAAGTAAGGTGATAGATTGTGGAACAGCAGTAATATAACTCAGAGAACAAACTACACACATGAATTCAGTGTGGTCTATGGGGAAACATGATGACCTCATCTGTCAAAAGACCACTCTAGAATGAAGAAAGCTGGGTTCTTCTAAGAGACTTCCCAACTTTTCTCCTCACAGGCAGAAGCCAAGGGCATGTCCAACTGTTGACTATGACAGCTGGTTCCTTTCTACCCTTTCCTGGTGGTGGGTATGGATTACCTCTCATCTCCAGAGTAGCGCTTACCTGACCAATCAGCCGATACCTCTCTCATTTAGTGCCTGAATTATTCTTTCCTAAGGGAGCCTCAGGCCCTCCAGTTTTATTCTGGCATCACATATGTTTTTTATAGTTTATCCTCATTACTATTGTTTTTATGTATATATATATATTATATATACATAAAACCAATATATATATATTGGTTTTTCGAGACAGGGTTTCTCTGCGTAATTTTGCACCTTCCCTGGAGTTCACTCTGTAGCCCAGCCTGGCCTCGAACTCACAGAGATCTGCCTGGCTCTGCCTCCCGAGTGCTGGGGTTAAAGGCATCGGCCACCACCGCCCGGCTTATACATTTGTTGTTTTGAGAAATCTCCCATTTCCTAGACTATCAGGAACTTTTCACATTCCTGAAGACAGCCTTTAACTTTCAATCTTTCTTTATTCTCCTCTGCAGTGCTGTGATTATAGGATGGGACACCATACAGAGGAGAATTTTTGCTTCTTTGATGATGTCCTCTGTGTTATAAAAGTTTTTACTTTGATATAATACAATTCATATACTTTTTTAAAAAAATAAAGATGGATTTTACTTAGGTAGCCCAATCTCTTCTGGAACTCACTAAAGAGCAGGCTGGCATCAAATGCAGCATCCTCCAATCTCTGACCTAGTAGTGCTAGAATTAAACATATACTTCACACCACCTGACCAAGCACTTTTGTCTCTTGTCATTTTGCAATAGACCTAAAAAATTATTTCTTGATCCAATATCATGAAAATTTACTACCATGGTGTTTTTTAAGTTGCTTTTAGATTTTGATCCTTTCTGCATGAATTATTTTGTATGATATGTGGGAAGGGCCCATTTACATTAGTTTTTTATGTGGATATCTATGTATGTAATCAGACTTCCTCTTCAGACTCTCTTGGACTGCCAGCCCACAAACAATGACATGGAGCCTTATTATTGATTATGAAAGTTTGGCCTTTAGCTTAGGTTTGTTCCTAACTAGCTCTTATAGCTTAAATTTATTGATTCTATTATGTAAACTCTGCCATGTGAGTTTTTTACCTCTCTTGCATTTGGTATGTCAGACTTGCTCAGCATCTTGCTGGCATCACCCTCATGAGCCTAGATTCATCCCAAGTTCCTCTCTTTCCCCAGAAGTTCTCCCAATTCTCCCCTGACAAACTACTGGCCAATCAGCTCTTTATTAAGCCAATCAGAAGGCACCTTTTACATGAGGCGAGCAAATATCTCACATTTCTCCCTATTTGTCTAAATGAAAAGGAAAGGGTTTAACTCTAACACAATAAAACTTTATACAATAAGAACAATTGTTAAATGAAATTACATTTACAATGTCTAGTCCATTAGTATTTTGCAAATTCAGAGATATTATCCTATCTTGATGAGTCCAAAGTTTTATACCTAAACTACTTTCTATCATAACCTGAATTACATAAAAATATCTTTTTAGACCTTAAACCATTTTCTTAGAAAAACAACATGAGCTTTTAAGTCTCTCAACCTCATAAACTTTGCATCTCTTTTGCAAGTTTCTTTTCTGAATATAGTAACAAAGGTAACATAGGTATAACTACCTAGTAATAAAAAGGTATAACTATCTAGTCTTCAACCCTCATCAGAGACACAAGGGAGATAAAATTTTATCTGATAATCAGAAAAGGAAGAGCAAACAATATCTAAAACTATAGAAATGACATGGACCACTGGCTATCTGGAGAGTCATCCAAGGTTCCTCTGCAACCTTGGGGCATCCATTTTTGGCCTACAGGCCTAGACTATCTGACAAACTTTTTTGTGAAGCAGGAAGTTTTGAAGGACTATCCTACCTTGTCTTGGCAAAGTTTGTCAGTCACGTTCTTTTGTGTCCTGCTTGTCCAATTTGGACAGCATACTCTGAGCAGTTGAGGCAAGGAAAGTTTCTTGCTGAGTTGCTAAATTTGCCACAATGAAAGCAAAGTCCATATGGAGGTTCTTCAATGCCCATTATCCTTTTTGAAGTAGATTGGTGCTGCCAGGAGCAGACATATCTCCTTGTTATAAAAAGCCTTATGCTATGAAAACATCTGAAATGCCAAATTAAGTAGGTCTTTGAAGTGTTTGAAGACCA